CTACAACTACAACTAAACAACTACACTCCACTACACTCCACTACACTAAATTACACTACACTTTATCTAATTTCAAGAGGAATGTACCGTACCACCGTACCCACCGTACCCACCGTACCGTACCCACCGTACCCACCGTACCGTACCCACCGTACCATCTTACCGTCCGTACCCACCGTACCGTACCCACCGTACCCACCGTACCGTACCACCGTACCCACCCGTACCGTACCCCCACGTACCCACCGTACCGTACCCACCGTACCCACCGTACCGTACCCACTGTACCCACGTACCGTACCACCGTACCCAACGTACCGCACCCTTCACCGTACCATCATTTTTGAGGACCGTACCCCCCCACAGAGCATTACTCTTGAAATTTGAAAAACTACACTACACAACATTACACTACACTACACTCCACTAGACTACACTACACTACATTACACTACGCTACACTACACGACCTTCCACCACACTTCACTACATTACACCACACTACACTCCACTACACTACAACTACAGCTACAACTACAACTAGACTCCACTACACTCCATTACACTAAATTACACTACACTACTACATTACACTACATTACACTACATTCCACTACACTCCACGTCACTACACTACATTACACTACACTACATTACACTGAATGACACTGCACCACAGATAGACAGGTAGACAGATAGATAGATAGATAGAAAGATAGATAGATAGATGGATGGCTAGACAGATTGACAGATAGATAGATAGATAGATAGATGGATAGATGGCTAGACAGATAGATAGATAGATCGATAGATCGATAGATCGATAGATCGACAGACAGATAGATAGGTAGATAGATAGATAGATGGATGGCTAGACAGATTGATAGACAGATAGATGGCTAGACAGATTGATAGATAGATAGAAAGATAGATAGATAGACAGACAGATAGATAGATAGGGAGATAGATAGACAAATAGCTAGAAAACTAGACAGCTAGATAGATAGGTAGATAGATAGATAGATAGGGAGATAGATAGACAGACAGACAGGTAGATAGGTAGACAGATAGATCAATAGGTAGGTAGGTAGATAATCAGAGAACGATAGAGAAACAGAGAGAAATCGAGAGAAAGCGAGAGAAAGAGAGGAGACCTCAAGCACCTTTCAGTCCATCAGTGGCTTCGCTCTGCCATCCCTGATTCACAACAACCAACCTCTCCTCCTAATTATAGGTTTCCTATTTTTGAAACTTCCGCCACCTCCTTGTGCGGTACTACTGGTATATATATATATAATATATATATTTATATATGTAGATTTGTGATCATACCGTGCCGGATGAAATCACTTTCATTTGTTCAGTTGCGAACGTACAGTGTTGGCCCAATCGGGCCTTGGGCCGCGAGATGTTTCTCCGTCGATCGCGGAGCGATAAGCTCCGAGTGGACCTAGCCACGCCTGAGTTGCCATCGTCGCATGGATCTCTGGACGCAGAAGGTGGCGCTGATGGTGCTGAAGTTGGACAGCCCGATGTGGACGAGGCTACGTCCGGTGCCGGAGAAGATGGGCTTGATAGTGGTGAATTTCGTGAATGGATGAGGGGCCGGGCGCGCCAACGCAAGTCGGAGGCAGAGCGCTCACGGCGAGGTCAACGTCGAGCCGGACGTGATCCTGAAAGTGAAGATGATCAGAGTTCCAGTGCATGATCGGAACAAGAGCACCGGTCAGGGCCCGCCACCTCCAGAGTGGAATGGGGAGAACCCCAACTTCCAGGATTGGTTGATAAAGGCACGGCTTTGGTTAGCAACTACAAGAACGAAGCCCAAATCCCAAGGCCCGATGATTTTACAGAGGCTCTCAGGACAACCGTTCCAGTCTCTGAAGCACTTGGCAAAGGACAAGACGTGGCTTGGAGACGAGAAGAATGGCCAGAGGATTTTGGACCTTTTGGTGAAGATCGAGAAGAAGAATTTCTCGCTGCCTGAGCGAAGCTGACATACCATTTGAAGAGAGGTCGTGACGAACAGTGTCGGCCTTTCTTTGCCCGATGGGATGGTGCAGTGAAAAAGATACAAGAGCACAATTCAATGTGGTGCTACCCGAAAAGGATCTCGGGTAACTCCGTGGCCCTGACGGAGAGCGATATCAAGGGGATGTTATCCTTCACCCAGGGCTTCATCGCGGTCAAGGACGTGAAGAGTTGGTGCCGGAAGCATGAGATGAAATTACTGGCCAAGGAGGTTGGCGTGGAGAAAACCCGAACGGGAAACAGCACTGCCTCGGAGGACGACGACCTCGAGGACGACGACCTCGAGGACGACGACCTCGAGGACGACGAGCTGCTGGCTAAGGAGGAGCTACTTCGAGAGCCATGGGGGGACTGCCCGCAGACAATCAGGGTGAGTGTCCGCAGACACGCAAAGGGGGGACTGTCCGCAGACAATCGGGGTAAGTGTCCGCAGACACTCACAGGGGATACTGTCCGCAGACAATCGGGGTGAGTGTCCGCAGACGCTCACAGGGGGGACTGTCCGCAGACAATCGGGGTGAGTGTCCGCAGACACTCAAAGAGGGGACTGTCCGCAGACAATCCGGAAAAGTGTCCGCAGACACTCAAAGAGGGGACTGTCCGCAGACAATCGGGGTGTGTGTCCACAGACAATCAAAGAGGGGACTGTCCGCAGACAATCGACTGGGGCGCGCGTCCGCAGACACTCGAAGGATGTCTATATATTTATATCGTGTGCATGTGCATGTGATATAAGATAACGCTATGAATATATAAATTTATATATACCCCGGCCTTGTCAGTCCCCATGGTGCTCTAAGTTGGTGCGCGGCCGAGCAACACGAGGGAAAAACGGCTGCGGACAAAAAGTTGAGTCATGAAGCAAGACGGGAACGGCTGTAAGGGCAACAGAAAATGACGCTCCTAACAGAAGCAACCGAGTGACAGAACGATTTTTTTTCTCCCGGGCATCGCGTTTCAATGCTTGCAATCTGCAAGAAAGGCTTGTTCTTTCTGCACTACGCCACTGATAGCTTAAATCTATTTAAATCTGCACGTGCTAGACTTTCATCAAGCACATCCAGACTCGCAGCCTCCAAAAGTTGGATGAAGACCGTGCAACGATCTACCTCCACGGCCGCAGCCGTGCAGGCACATGCAACCTCTCGAGAGTTGCAGATGTCAAGTGAGCCAAAACTTGATGCTCTTTATGCACAGCGCCATGCTCCGCAGAACATGTGTCTTTATCACGAGGTGTCATAGGCGCTACAGACTCAGAGCTTACAGAGATGGCATCTGCAGCATCCAATGCCTGCTGCGATCGTTGCCACAAAGCAGGCAAAGTTTCCATTGTCATCTTCTCATGGCCTGCAAACCCAAGGCGAATCTCCACTTTGCTTCCCTCCGGATTAGTGCGCCAGGCAAACAAGTTTCTCATCCCTTGAGCCTTGAACCAGAAAAAGCTATATTATTATAACGCGTGAATATATCGATATTATATTCTCTTTAAACCATGTGCAAACAGACATGATGGACATCTCCGTTCCTATAACTCGGCTCCCATTTTGCAAGCCTGCACAAAATCAAAAATACATTTCCCTTCCGGCTGCCACTCAGACCAGCAGCTTGTAGCCACGCCTTGTCCAACAAGATGGAGTGCAACCAGGCCTGTTTCTGCAGCGCGAACAGCCGCATGGGAAAAGACGAACACTTTCAGCCCAGCTGCTGCAGGGCGCTTCATCTTCACCTGCTGGCTGCTCGCACTTGGCTTCTTCAAAGGTTTAGCCATAGATTTCACCTGCTACCCAGCCTTGCGCTTTTGCGGTGAAGCACGCGGCCCCGTACCCGCCTTGGCGCTCGCAGGCTTCCGCATTCCTTTGGCCGCCGGCCTCTTAGACACCGCAGGGTCCTCAGCACCATCTCCAACGCCACGACCATAGTGTGCCAAGGCCAAGTCTTCCACAGCAACTTCCAAGGCCAAAGGCTGCGAAGACGGCAACTGCTCCACTGCTTGTGGCACTGCAGGCGCAGGCAATGTGCCGTTCAATGGAGCGGCTTCAATCGAAGCCACAGGTTGTACAACCTCGCTCGGTCCCACATTTCCCGGCAAAGTTTCCGCCTGTGGCGCTGGCAATGCCAATTGGTTAACTGCAGTGGCCTGCGATCCTGCTGGTTCCCGCGCACGGTCCATCAAGGATTGCAACTGACCACTTTGCGTCGTCTCTGCCCTCGTTGCACGTGCAGCAGCAGCTGCAACCTCCACGCCCGCAGGCAGCAATTGGAAACCAGGAAGGCCAGCGTTAAAAGCTGCAGGCACTTGCCCCACTAATGCTCGTGCAGCCTGCACAGCAACGTGCTGAGTCATCATGGCTTGCGAAACGCCAGGCAACGACAAGTGGCTCTGCATCCGCACCAATCGCACTCCAGTGTGCGTGCTCCTACATGGCCAAGTAGCAGCAGCCTGCCAAAACGGATTCAAATCCACAGGGGGATTAGGAGCGGTCCCTGCAAAAACCTGTTGTCTTATCTCCACAGGCAAGGCGTCGAATGCATTGGGCAGAATTACCACGCCCTGCACCCTTGCGCGGGTGATTTTGCTCTTCAGCACGCTCTTGCATGTTGACAATAAAGTTGTCTGCCTGCTGACATCATCGGCCATGAAATCACCGCCACATCCAGTCACCATGCATGCCACCAACGCATGCGTGCGTTCGCTTGGGTGCCTCAAGCCCATCTTGACAAGGTGCGACACCAGTGCCTCAGCCTTAACGAGGTGTCGCTGCTGGCCCCGCAAGGTCATCCACAGATCGTCCGGTATGAACAGAGGAAAGCAGGTCCAATCCTGCATCCCAGCACGCGCCACAGCTGCTCCCAACGGAGCTTCCAAAGCCATGCCGCAGCAGAACACAAGCGAAAGCAGCCTTGAGCACAAAATTCGCCAAAAAAAAAACGCCAAAAAAAAACATCAAATTTGAATCCTAATATGATTTTCCAAAAAACAAAGGAATTTTAAAGCTAACTTAGCTAACTTTTTTCTATCTTCTAACAGGATTATGGGATCCCCCCCTTAACCCTGGATTTTTTTGGGGGAGGTAAGGCATGAAATTTCTGATAAATATTTCACCTGACCACGTGAAATATACCCCCCCACGTGTTTTTTTGGGCTTCTAAAAGACGTGGGGGGAGGTCCTCCGGATGCCACATTTTAGCCCAGAAACGGTATGACACACCATGACACACCCTTTCATTTTGAACATACATACATACATACATACACATACACATACACATACACATACACATACACATACACATACACATACACATACACATACACATACACATACACACATACATTCATACTTTCATTCGTTCATATATATATATACACATACATGTACTTAAATACATATGTGTATATATATATATTGGGGCACAAACATACTTACAGACAGGCTTGTGAGTATTGCATAAGAGAGTGAACTTGCCAAACAGCCTTCAGAACATGACGTTCAGCCTTGAATTCAACCACGCCCAGAGACCATTATAGACCAGAATTTTTGAGCTGAAATATTTCACTTTAGGGAGGTGAAATATTTCTAGGTGTGGGTGGGGGAGACCCCCCCTAAAGTGAAATATTTCAGTTTTTACCCCCCCCCCACCCCCCCCTTAAAGGGGGGGGATATTATGGGTTAACTTAACTTATAAATCGTTAACTTAATTGTACTAGTAACTTCAACATTGAGTTATCGGAGTTATAAAGCTTATAACATATGTTATAACATGGGGGGCATGTCCTTGTGGGCGGATTAGAAGAACTTGCCCAGAGAAAATTATCAAATCCCGATTTGTCTTGGCTGAAAGGATTGAAAGTCTATCGAGGCGGACGTGGAGAAGGAATGAGAAGGCCGAGTACGAGGGCATCTTGATCAAGAAAGATGGAGAAAACTTAGAGATCAGTACGAAAGCCAAAGCCCGACATGTGATGACGGGCTTTAGCGAGAACGAGGGAGAGAACCTGGAGACTACCACTCCCCAATGCGGAAAAGACACGGTCCTCTGTACGTTACAACTTCTGTGCAGTCATGGATGGCCACCAGCTTAATTGGACTTCACACAGGCATTCCACAGCGGAGACGAGATTCAACGAGAAGTATACGACCAACCTAGCGAATGTACACTACCTGGACTGCTACCTCGACAGCTCCTACGACTCCTGAAATCATGTTACGGCCTCTTGGATGGACCATATGCTTGGCACCAACATGCAGAGTGCAGGGGACCGTTGTCTATTCTTCCTGATCGATCCGAAGATAGGTAACCTAAGAGGAGTGATCATCGTTGCCACCGATGATTTACTTCATGGTGGAGATGAGCAACATTGGGCAAGAATGGAATGGTTGAACCAACACTATAAGCTTGGCAAGTTCTCACGTGGCGATGGACGCTTCATGGGAAAGGAGATCAAATGTTGCCCAGGCGGAAGTTTCCTAGTCCATCAACGACTCGTCGCCCAAAAGATCAAAGTGATCGACTTGGATCGACAGAGAAAATAGAGAAAGAAGGAGAAGTACGCTTATTATTGCAACGCCGACGAGATCAGCCAACTTCGGGGGCTGTTGGGAAGTCTAGCACGGTTGGCCAAGGAGACACGACCAGATCTGGCTGGGCGAGTTGCGATTCTCCAGCAATCTTTGCCACATCCCTACACCCAGGACATCATCGAGGCAAACTCCCTGGCTCAGGAAGCGGTGAAACATGCGGAAGTGGGTATCACCATACATCCGATTCCACTGAAATACCTTCGGGTGGGCACCGTCTCGGATGCGTCCTGGGAAACGTCAAACATGTGGTGACCGAGGGGTCGCAAGGTTTTTTGGAAGAGAAGGAAGGCTGTTGGATCAGACACCACATCCAACCACGACGACTTCTATTCCATCCTGCTGGTGCCCCAGGTGGCCCCAATTGTCATGAACTTCGTGAAGAGCGAGTTACCATCATGAATGGCATGGAGAAAAGGGACAAGTGGAACATCCGAGGAGGGCAGGATGAAGAATGGTGTGGCCAAACCATCTTCTACAAGAAGAGGAGCGAGATCAAGAATGAGGCGGTCAAGGACAAGTTCATCCAGCCTGGAAAGCTTGCCAGTCAGGGCGGCTTCATTACCTTCTTTTGCGACGCAAGAATGGAGACCCAAGAGAAGGCTTACTCTATCTCGATAGTGAACTGGAAAAGTTTTCGCATTAAGCAGTGCACAATCAATACTCTGTCGGCAGAGTGCCAAGCGATGCTTCATGGTGTTGGAGCACTACACTGGCTACGCTTTCTTATCCAGGAGGTGGAGGTGCATGATAAGAGGATCACTCTGGCCAACTGGGAAAACGCGCTCAGCCAAGTGCCCTGCCATTGCCGTCACCGATTCCAAATCGCTCTACGACATTACGACACCGTTAGCAAATGCTGTAACACTGGTTCCCGCATCGAGGACAAGAGGACGGCCACCGACCTCACCATCCTCAAAAGAGATTTTCCGAAGACCCAAGGACAAGTTCGCTGGATTGAAGGTTCCCGCATGATCTCTGATAGTCTGACCAAGAAGGTTGGTAGTTTCTTCTTGCGTAATGTGATGGTTTCTGGGAAATGGTCCTTGTCAGACAAGGGGGTTCAGTAAGAGCACACAATGCTTTGCTTTTCCTGATTTCATCCGAAAAGAGTTTGGCCGGTGTGGATCCGGATGAAATTACTTTCATTTGTTCAGTTGCGAACGTGCAGTGTTGGCCCAATCGGGCCCTGGGCCGTGCGCAAGAAGTTGCGCGAGATGTTTCTCCGTCCACAATATAATTTCCCTTTTTTTTTGGCAGGCAATTCGTGTATCCCAACGTGCTGATTATTGGACCCACTTCCAGATTCGAATGAAAACGCCTAGGACTTGCATTTTTGGGGTTTTCTTTCGCCAATCAAGTTGGGGTTCCTGCAGGGAATGATGGGCGAATAAGCGTCCCTGTTCTTCCCTAGTCACATGCGTGGACCAATGCCATAGTCGCATGAATTTGTGAGGCCCCAGTTGGTGAGCAAACCAATAAAGACCTTGCTAAGCAGGCAGGCTGTTGGTTGCAGCCCCTACCGTTTACTCGACTTGATGCAACATGTGCAAACATTCACAAATCTACATTTGGACTTTGGACAATGGGCACTTGAGGAAAGCAGAAGGAATCGGATTTTGCTCCTGGTCCTGCAAATCACATTTCTGCCAAATTTGTTTCCTACTGCGCAATCTAAGTGGTATTGGTTTGTTTTCTATTTTTGGTGTTTTTGAATGTACACTTGTCGTATTAGTTGGTCATAGGCGGTACTTCAATTGGCATAAAAAGCAAGGGTTTGCATCAATATTCGTTGTGAATCTGTCAAGATCTGAGAGACTCGCAGATCACCATAACATCCACCAGGAGCTAATGGGTTTGTGTGGCAAGATAAAGCGCGGCATAATGCAGAAAGGCGCACAGATCTGAGAGCCTTGTGGCATGAGAGTGTTTTGTGAAAAATGTGGAAGGCTATTTGGTCAGACTCCGCCTTAAGTTTCTGATTTGTTCGGCCAAGATCGGATTGAGACTAACAAAGATATATTTTATATATAATATATTTATATTATATATATTTTTTGTTATGATATATATTTATACATATTTATGATATATATATATATATACATATTATTTTTGATATATAATATCACGAAAGGTAGCTCCAGAGGGGCTACCTTGAGTTTTACTTTACGAAGTAAAGGGGAGGGCGGCCAGCCCCGTTACCTGATTATTCAGGAGATTGCTAGTCATTTTAGTACCCCCCCAAACGTTACTTATTTTGTTTTACGTGTCTACACAATGCTTTCATGCATGTTGACATGTACACAGGATTCATTCTATCTCATGCGGACTCCGCATGGCTCAAGACTAGCATGCAAGACCGCGAGTACAAAAGAGTGCAGCAGCCACTTCCTGTCCGCAGGTGTTTCCTTAGGTTTCCAGGGCTCCCTTAATACGGGGAAAGCTACCTCAAAGTGGTAGCGGAGCCTGTGCCTTCGCCAAGTCTAGGTCCGTGTGCCGAACTCCTGTTCTCTGCATACGCTCCGTATATCGGACTTGCGGAGACAACCTGTAGGTCAAGTTAGAGTAGCTGCCATGGTCTTAATCCACAACATGGATTCAGATGAAGAACAACTCCAAATTGTTTCTTATGAAGAGCTGGAAGCATATGCCGCCACCAGTCATTCCGAAAACCGGATGTGCATCAAAATGACACCGAAAGTTCCACCCCAATTTGATGGCCAGTCAAGCTGGTTTGAATATGAAGATTTACTTGATGACTGGTTAGGGATCACAACATTGGATGCAGATAAGCACGGACCATCATTAAAGAATGCCCTCATTGGTTCCGCTTCTTTTTAAAAGTCGATGCTCGATAGTGCCCTACTCCGAGATCCGGATCGTGGCCTCGCTCATTTCAAGGACACATTGAGACCATACTTCGTGAAGGGAGTAAATCATGTGTTTCTTTGGCGATTCCTCCAGATGTTTCGCACATACCGAGGCCAGAGTGAATTCGTGCACTGGATAGGGCGATTCGAAATCGCGCAGAAGCGTTTGTTGGCTTCTTGGTCCGATCTGGTAGACATATCCGATCTTCCCGAAGCAGGCACTCCGGCATTTACGGCAGCACTCTCTGATGAGCAAAGACTGCACTATAATGGAATAATAACAGATGAAGATAAGCTAACTTATCAACAAGAGCTCAGAGAACAGACCATTACAAATAGAAGGGCCAGACATGCACAGCAGTTTCCATTGTCAGACAATTTGATATCACTGATTTTTCTAGTTCAAGCAGACCTCAACGAGCAACAACGTGAGCGTTTTGTCTCGTCCATGAACATCCGTCAGATTGCAATGCCTCAGTATACCTATCTCCAAGTGAAACAGCTGTTCTTAGAACTTTTTTGCCGTTTCTCGCACAGGTGTTGCCGACCCAAACATCACGCACCGCAAGCGGTCCAACTTCTACGTCATCGAGGAAGGAGAGACCGAGGAAGGTGAGTACGGATTTTGGGTCTTTGATGAAGAGACGGGTGAAGAAGGTTTCACAGGTCTGTACACAGAGAACGAATTCTGGGTTCTCGGTGCAAAGGGTTCATACTCTAAGCGCCGCATCTATGGCAGGTCCTTCAAGAAAGGTCGACCAAAAGGTTATGGTAAGAAAGGAGGAAAAAGATCAAGACCCGGCTTCCGCCCGAGGTCAAAAGGCAAAGGTTTTGCAGCATAGGAAGATGACCAGCAAGACACAGCTTTCTGGGGAAAAGGAAAAAAAGCAAAGGAAAAGGCAAAAAGGGCAAGAAAGGAATGATGAAAGGAAAGGATTCTTTCAAAGGAATGCCTTCATGGAAAGGAAAGGGCAAAGGTGATGCCAAGAACAAAGGAGGAAACAATCCATTTTTGTCACAACCTCCACAAGCAAATGTAGCACAGCCTGCAACATCTAGCGCGTCACAAGCCCCTGAAAAACAAGAAACAGCCCATGCCGAAGAAAGCTGGGGTTATGACTATGACACCTATTGGACAGATGACTGGTCAGGTTATGAATCCTATTATGGAGATTACTCCCAAGGTGATTGGTACAATTGGTCTTACTTTGCTTCCGCGGCTGAGGAACTGACCGAATCCGAGGACAAGCAGTCAGAAAGTGTAGACGTCATTTCTGAGGACGGACAGACCGACAAGATCAACCGGTTCTGTTTTCCGGCCATTTGCTTGTTCCGATTTTTCGGACACGAACTTGTAGAAGCCATCGCATTCATGCTTCTGTTCGTGTCTCTGATGTACCAGTGCTTTTCAGATTTGAACAGGTTCCTATTTAAGAGCATCCGCCAAGTTGAGAAGAGTGTTTCTACCGAAATCGGTGACCAGCATTCGTTCCAGCCGCACACATGCCCTCTCGATTCCGTTTTTACGGAAGAGTGTGTATTTCTCAATTATGATCATGGTGCCCAACAAGCATTACTTTGTGAATATGTAGATCTAGATTCTCATCCGACTTATGTCATCCTTGATTCAGGTTGCACTCGGGCCATGGGATCCCGCTTTGCCATTGATCGCCTTGTACAGGCTTGCCAACAACATCCGAAGCGTGACCACATATGGTTTTCCAAGCAGCCGTGTTCAAGTAAATTTCCATTTGCTAATGGAGAACAATCTACAGTCAAAGAAAGATTAGTGATTCATTTTCGCAATGATCGTGCACAGACTGGTTGGATAACAACATGCGTTGACATCCTGGACAAAGGTAAGGTTCCTATCCTCCTTTCAGTTGAACAAATGCGGAACCTTCGCATGAATATCGAACATACTCCTGTAGGTGAGTTCATGACTTGTCCACTTTTCGGAATGCAACGCACCGCATTGGCGGTCAGCACATCCAACCATCCAGTCCTTGACATTATGGCTCTTGCTACTTCCAGTTGGAAACCGATGTACAGCTTTCAGTCCGAAGACATCACATGCCCAGCATGCAATGGTAAACATCGTCCACACACCAATAAAGAAGGCTGCAAGAGATTCAAAGGATCAGAGCCAAAATCAGCACAAGTGCCGAAACCGGCCAAGTCTGATTCCAAGAAAAATGTCAAGAAGGTAATTCAGCCTGATAGCAAGTTAGAAGTACCAGTTCAGCCTTTTGATCCTACCAACAACACCAACAACACCAACACCAACAACACGACCAACAACACCAACACCACCAACAAACCCAACCACACCAACAACACTAACAATACCAACAACACCACTAACACCAACAACACCAGCATTAACGACACCAACAACACCAACACCACCAGCACCACCAACACTACCAACACCATAACCACCGCCAACCCCAACCACACCGCTGAAGCCTTTCCGTCGCTTTTACCAGACTCCACTTTATATTTTTAGAGAGAAAATGGCCGCGTCGCTTTTACCAGACTCCACTTCATGTGTTTTGCCTTGCCTTCTCTCCTTTCTTTTTTCTTCGGTTCCTTTCTTGCTCACCTACCTTTCGTGTTCCCCCTCTCAAGTATATAATATATATATATATATGTAATTTTGAATATATATATATATATATATATATATATGAGCAGGGACCCCCACACCCCCCCCCACCCAGCCAGATGGTTCCCCCCCCCCTGTGGCAGGGGAGGGGGGTTTTCTCAGCAGCCAAGCCATGGTGTATGTAGTCTTTATAGTGCATATAATGCATATGTATCGATAATTAGACTGGATATACTATATGAAATATAGAGTGTATGTGTAGTGTGTGTATATATATATAAACATATATATAATATGTAAGATATAAATAGAATATATGCAATCTATATGTATATATATATATTTTAATATATATATATATGACACATATATATTTATATATTGAACATTTATATATATATATACATCGTATATGTGGTTTTTGATAGAATATAGATAGTATATGCCACATGTACTGTATCCACAGTAGATGTAATATATACAATATAGGTAAATATGTTCGTTGAATAAATTTTACATAGTATATGTGGTATATTGAATATCGACAGCAATACACGCTGTATATCTAGAGTTTATGTATATATATATATATGTATATATATATGTATATATATGCATATATATATATATATATATATACATATATATATACGTGTACAGTATGTACAATGTAAACGAAATATGTGATAGATACAAGATCAAGATATCAATCTGTAGTATCTAGAATGTGCATATATATATATATGTATTTATTGTTTTTCTACTGTACATATGTCTAGGTTTGCATAGGTAAGCTTTGCGTAATCCATAGGTAGCAAATATGTTGTAAACCATGTGCGAGGCACGCTATAGGCGGTTCGAAAAAAAGGTTATGATAGAAATATACAGGTAGACAAGGTCCGTTGACGAGGTCGTGGCTCTCAAGTGCTGCAAATAACGTAGAGATGCGAGGTTGGAGGGGTGGAAAGGGGAGTATATATGTGTATATGTGTATGTATATGTGCAAATAACATGCAAATACTAGGTTTTGGGGGGGTGGGGGGGGTTAGGAGTGGGGGGGGGGGGTGTGGGTGTCCGGGGACCGGGCTCATATATATATATATATTGTAACAAATAATATTTAATATCTATATATATATATGACACATGTGCTATATATTTTTTTAAAAAATTTTATATCTATACATATATAATATATATTGTAAATATTTTATATTATATTTGTATATTTACGTATTTTTTTTATATTATTTATATATATATATATTATTTTTTAAATTATATATATGTATTATTTTTAAAATTATATTTTTTGATTTTAAATAAATAAACATATATATATTATGATATTTATGTTTGGTTCGTCCTGTCAAAAGCTAGCCAGTTTATGCCGGTGCTGTTTTGATTTGTTTTGTGAAGCACAGTGGCCATGGCGGCATTTGTTCCAGAGAGATCCCGGGGTTAATGACGGTCGGTAGTATAGGATTCTTGCCTCAGGCGATGTATCCTACGATTCCCAGCTTGCATTCTGGATGCAATATGATTGAATCAGAAACTGATCATCTGATCCGTGCAAGGGAAAAAGCATGGACAACCGCTTCACAAACTTCACAACGTTCTGCCATTTCCTTTTTTGGTGTTCTGCCAAGGTTGTGGGTGGCTACTTCCAGGCTACAGTCACCGTCCGATGCCTTGATGGAGATTGGAAGGATGCTGTTTTCGTCGGTGAAGTGTGTCGAGACAAGGCGCAGGGCAGAACTGACAAATTGCGGTTGGTGCTTAGGGAAAAGTTTGTTATTACCCAGAACTACCGTCCATTACCGTCCTTCTGCGCCAACCTGGATTGTATGTTTTTGCCTCTGCTTCAGTTGCGTCATTCAGAGGGCAGACGGCAGGAGCTACTGTTCCATATTCATACAATTGTTTTTCTTCCACGGGTCGATGTAACTCCAGACGACAGGTAGATCGTGCCACTAAGATCTAATACGTTTTATTTTTGGGCTCTTTGTTCTCTCATATGTTAGGCTTCTTGGCATTTTGTGGTTTGGAAGATCTTGGAAGAAGCCAATGCTGTAAGAGAATGTTGGAGGGTTTGGATTAGTCCCCGATTATCTTGACGATCCTTTCCCACGAGCGCCTGCCCAGAGCATGGCCGAACACAGCGCAGCAGCAGTTGCAGTGGCAGAGTTGCGGAAAGATGACGCAATGATGGCAAGGCAGCGTTGGATCTGGATGGCAGAAAGATATGGCTTAAGCATGTTGAAGCCGTTCAAATATGTTTGCATCTAAATGCTCACTGCATATAAGTAACTCGGACATGAGGACCGCGTTTACAATCCTGCCCTTTGAGTCGGCGCATAATGCATACTACTACACACGTTCCACATTTTTTGCATTGTCTTAAGATGTTAGATCTTTTGCACACACACTTAAAACAATCTTTGCGAATTCTGATGTGGAATGCATCGTACGTGCAAAAACAATCCAGTTATACCGGGGTCGGTGAAAAGACCCGAGAAGGTATCGAAAAGCTTCCATCGCCACAGCATGACAGATTGCGGAAACCGTACATTCAATGAAGTGACATAAAATGGAGTTTCGTTTCAAAAAGTGAAAATTGTGGAAAATTCGACATGCCAGTTCTTGGCTTGGCCGGTTGCCATTGACGAAAAATGAAAATTGGTGCAGGTACACAGATTGGCGTCCCAATCTGTATCACCAGATCAAATGGGTGTCTTCGTTGGTAGCGGTCCCAAATGATCTGCCGCTACCCCCTGCTCCAAAATGGATATTGAAGTTGAAAACGGCAGTTGAGGTTGACAGCAAAAATCGACATCATCAGGTAGAAGTTTTACATCTGTTCAGATGTTCCACACACACGCCCTGCTGCCGCAGGGCTTTTTTCGGAAGATGCACAATTGCAATGCGAAGGGAGCTCTGATACGGTCAATTGGGTTCGGGTCGTGTGATCAAAATGCCAGAGACAAGAAGATGAAGTGCAAAGAATGAATGAATTTGTATTAGCAAAAATTAGCCAAGCCGCAGCTCAGGAGAGGTACATGACTTAGTCAGAGATGTCCGAGATGTCCTCATAGTCATCAGGTCGAGCGCTTCGAGCCAACTCAGTTGCTGTGATAGCAAGGTGGCTGGCCATATGCAGAAGTTCCACTGCGGTGAACAGTTTTACCTGGGTACCCGATGGGTCTTCCGGAGGGATCTGAAGCTTCTCAAGGATCGGTGCATTGTATTCAGGATCCGCGATCAACACATTGTAAAGAATGGTGGCCAGTTGGTGTACCTGACTTGGAACCGGCACATTTCCCGTATGGGCTGTCACCGAGGTGTCCTCCGCGAGGTCCTCTGCGTCACCAGGGGCAGCATCGGCAGACCCATTTTGATGATGTCCTGCTTGGTGACCTTCAGTGGTGGTTTCTTTATGTATTTCATCAATGTTGAAGAACCTGCGCCAGTAGTTGGCCAGGCGAGAGGACTCTGTCCAGCTGTCAATGTATCCCTCCCACCGGTCCCTCACATGACCTAGTATGCCATTGAAGAAGAATTCCAGTCGACGGTTGCGTTCTTGACCAGTCCTGTCAATTTCCGTGACCATCAATCTGCGAACCCGGTTGGCTCCCTGGCCAGAAATCACTTCCTTGAAGATTTGGGTATGATGTACTTTGTGATCTTGGGAGAGTTGTTCTTGAAGTGGGTAGTGTTCAGGTTGTTGCCAAGTGGGGTTGATATTTGGCATCGGAGGGCTGGGAGCTGAGGTTGCATATCCATATGTGGTCTCAGGATGAGATCCAGAAGCTGATGATGATCCTGGAAGTCGTAGACCTTGTCGGGTAGAAGCAGCAGCGGCCGACGAAGAGGCTGCACCGGATGGATGGCGGCTACGATAAGCGCTCATTGGCTGGGACCAAGAATCAAAACGAAGGTCCCGGAGGGAGGCAAGTTCAGCACAGGAGGAATCCCTCTTGGTCATATTAAAAGCTGGAGCCAGAAGAAAGTGACAGAGAGACAGTAAACAACACAGACAAGACAACAGGTAATGAAATAAGAAATGGATAGAAATGGTAGCAGTACGGATTGTTTTCGAACTGACTGAGCCGCAGAATGTAAGGTTGACCTGGGTTGGTAAAGTCAACCAATGAATTGAAAATCCCTATTTCCTGCGCTTCAGTCCAGTGTGGACGATGTTCACGAAGCAAACGAGTGATGATCTGGTTTGGGCGAAGTGCAAAGGTATCTCCAGTACAATCACTCCAACGAAGGTCCATGGCTGTGGACTCGATATGGATCCCCCATGTGTTGAAGATGTATTGGCTGATGTAGGTCAACAAGTCGCCAACAGAAACGATCTGGATTTGGCCAGGTGTTAATAGGCAACTGTAGGTGAACAGGGCCAATTCTTCAGTAGGACGAAGATCATGAAGGTGTTCACACGTAGTGACTTTTATTCGACATTTGTTCATTCACCAGCTGTTTGGTGGCGTCCAGATTGATCATAATGAGGGCTCTCCTAGTCCGACGAAGTGCTGGGGCATAGTTCCATCGACGATGATGTGTCGGGTCATGGGGACGATCAGGGTTTGGATGACCCCACATGGGAGGGTCATCACGGGATCGAGAACGTTCACGTACCATGATGGGAACGCTAAAGTGAAATTGAGCCAGGCTGAAGTAATAAAGAGAACCAATCACCTAGTACGGTCACGGAATGAAACGGTAATATGAGATGCACGACGTTTGTTCTTTTTCTCACTGAAGCGCTCAGTCCTCCGCTTCTGGTTCATTACGTGGGTTGGCTTCCGGCATGGTCTGCTTCAGGATTGACCATCTGATCTTGCACACTTCTGGATCACGTCGTAATCGTTGGCCAATCGTCTTCCATGAAGGTCTGGACGTGCTGTCATTTTTGAATTGACATAATTCGTGGTCTTCCGCACCCGTCCAAGGGCGAATGCTAGAGTGAGGGGAACGACGGTCCAACGGGGCAATGGTTGCCGGAGTGGCTGGTGGTGCTACTGTGCTTGACTTGGCGGTTGCTGGGATCGGAGCAGCATCTGCAGTTGGAGGTCGTGATGTATCATTCACCGGCGCACTTGGGTTCCCTGGCGGTGGTGAAGCCGGTCGAGGATTGGATGCAGGACGTCCATGATATGTTGCTTCATCAGAGTCGTCGGAGTTGAAACCTTCTGGAGGAATGTCACGGATGACTGGCAGGGAGGTAATCACCTCTTTGACATGGGGTTTTGGTTGTCGTAGAGGATGTTGCTGTGTTCATAGCCCGCTGTTTCTTTTTGGGCCGGGCGTCTTTGGACAAGGAATCTCTCGCAATTGGGTCGATGGTGTGAGGAGATGTGACCGCCATAGTATGGACAGAAGGTCCAGAGATAGGAGGCCTGGCTCGAGTGGATGAAGTATATTCCACCGCGGCTGGGTGGCTGGCAGGGTGATGGTCGGTCCTCAATGGGACAAGGTTCACGACGTATGGAAAGAGGGCGTAAATGAGGTTCCGGATTCAGGATCATGTGAGTGGGTAGCCCGCCATGAGATGCGAGAGTAGGAGTGGACGAAGAAGCGGGATGGGGGACAAAAGTATGCAATTGCCTTTGAGATGGATGGACGCAGTGGGCGACCATATGGATCATGTGGATGTTCATCCCAGTCAACTGTAGGTTCAAAGAAAGAAAGAAGCCTGCAATCGTGTTCAGGCGCATTAACGCACGAGCCAAATGGTAGTGAATCTCACGACCATGCGAAGGATCCATGGTGACCACGAACGTAACAATACCAACGCAAATTGAGGGCACGAGTTTGAGCCAAACACTAAAGGAGGAGACAGGGGGGACCAGGAAGAAAGACAACAGGAACAAGAACCACGAGAGAGAACCCCGAAGACAACAGGAAACAAAAGGTGACACGACATAATGATAATGGTCAGTGTATTTTCTCATGCAGCTGAAGGTTCTGATGCTGAGTCAAAATCTGCGATGAAATGGTGTGGAGTTCCTCATTGGGAAAGCCGGCCAAAGTATATAAGTGGATTAACTGATCCAGGCCTTGCTGGACTCGGTAATCTGGGAAATCACCCTTGACGACGATGTGGCAGCGAGATCGAAAGCCACTGAGAAGAACTTTTGGTGGGGATGCCGAGTATGGTGACAGGACCTGGGAGATGTTGGTGGGGCTGTGGTAGATGAGTTCCAAAGGCTTGGTTTCAAGATGTTTCAAGCATGAAACCAAGAAACTCTTGGTCAGGTTCCGTTTCCAGGATGATGGGCTTTCCATGGAAGAAGGACTTCATAGGGTGGAAGTTGTTGGAGGCGAGAGTCGCCAAAAATCAGTCTGTTGTCCACATAGCGGATGTGTTTGATGAAGAGATGATGGTTGGAAAGGAGTTGAGTTGGTTGAAGTTGATGGACCAAATTTGTTCACTGATGGAAACAACCATGAGGCAAAGGGCTGGGGAGAGTGGGCTGCCCATAGGGCTTCCCCTTCGTTGTCGGATGCAACGTTGGCCCAGAGCAAAGCTTTGCATATCAAGCGCCGTCGTGAGAAGGGATGGGACATCTTTGATGACTATTTTCCGTGTGACATTAGGTGCGACCTTTGATGACATCACCTGGATTGCTGGATTTTCCTGGGTAAACGGAAAATACCTCATTGTCGGCCACATTCATATGTGGCCGAAGGAAGTCCAAAAGCATGAACCACGCCCCAATGAATCTTTCTTGGTCAATGCTGGTGAAGAATCCAGCCAGGTCTTGATTGACCAGAATCAAATCGGCGTCGACAGGCGCTGACCGCAAGATGTCAAGGAGTGTGTAAACATCTCCTGAGGCAAAGTGGTTGGGGCAAGCCACCGGAATAAGCTGGAAGATCATCCTGGCCAGGATGTTGAGCATGGGGCGAAAGGGGGAGTCGACGAACGAAATGATAGGTCGACCACTTTGGAACCCCTTCTTCATTTTTCGCCAGGATATAGCCGGCAGGGAGTTGTGGGCCCGTGGCCCAAGGGTAAGATTTGCCATGTTGTTTTCGAAACTGGTCAACAAGTGAGGTAACAATTGTAGTGGGTTCTTGGGGAACGGGTTCGAAGACAGTATATTCTGAGGGACGAAGCTTGTTTGCTTTCACAATGAAAGATGGCCCCATCGAACACCTTTTGAAAGTTTGTAATTGATGTGTTGGTAATGTGGCAAGTGACTTGTTGAACGTGGTGTGTCCAGAGGTGTTGACACAGGTCGGAGATGCCGGTGAGTGGCATGGAGGGAAGGCCATTGCGCTTGGTCCATTGTTGGAGGCCTGTCTTCACTTGAGTATGGTAGTCTTTCTTACAGGGAAAGACCTTGTTGAGTAAGGAACCTTCAGCAATGACCGCGAGATCCTGTGGAAGCAAATCATGAAGGAGAGAGCCGGCTAAGACCCAGTGTGGGTCTGACGGGTTGAGGGCTGCCTTGGAGAACTTTGGCAAGGTGGTGCATCACCTGTAGACCCATCGGCGATGGCCTGTTTGTGGCTGCAAAACTGGTCCAAGACCGCAGCATGCTTGATAAACACCATCTTGAAGGATGGGTTATGGCATGGGACCATGGGACTTGGTAGGCCAGTACTTGGAGATGCCATTTTCGAAGGAATTGTTTCAAATGGCGCTGGAGATAGTGCGCCCGTGGGGTTCACCTCCCCCCCCTCCTTGTAATTTTACTCTTATAGTAAAAGGAGGGAGGGGGTCACTGCCCCCCCCTCCTCCTAGTACAAAGGTAAGAGGGGTCACTGTTTTTCTTTGAACCTAATACCTACACAGGTGCATGCATGAGTATTGAGCACATCTATATGCGCCCTCAAGGCTCAAGAGGTATATAGAGCAACCCTGTGGACACCGCATTGACTGGCAATACGCCGAGAGTAAAAGTGTGAGCTGTCTTGGGAAGACGCCTTAGCTGATCTTGAAGTAGACGCTAGGGCCCCTCTTCAAGTGGTAGCGGAGCAGTGATCCTTCATTGAAGGTGAGCTCCAGGTAGTGCTCAGCAATGGCACGCCATGGCTATGATGATGATGACTTCGACATTGTCGATGCAGATGGATGGAACCAATATGACTCTTACGCAATGAGAAGAGCTCCCCAGCAGACACAGATTCACATGACGCAACAAATGACCACGAAGGTAGCTCCAGCATATGATGGGAGAACCAGTTTCTTTGCCTATGAAGATGCAATCGATGACTGGTGTGACATCACGGAGTTAGAACCTGAGAAGCGTGGACCAGCCTTGCGCAATCGACTGGAAGGAGATGCTCAACAATACAAGAGTTTATTGGACAGAGATATGCTCAGGGATCCCAATGAAGGAGCGCACTATTTCAAAAGATTTCTACGACCTCATTTCATCAAGGGTGCCCAGAACGTGTTCTTATACCGTTTCATGCAGTTCATGAAGTTCAACAGAGGAACTATGGATCTTCAGAAGTGGATGACTAGATTTCAACTGACTGGTAATAGACTTATTGAGTCGTGGATGGATTTACTTCCAGAAGCGTCGGTGACTAGTCCTGAAGCAATCCAATTTGTTCAACAGAAGAGGCAAGAACATGAACGAGATCAAGCAGAGCAGGCTGGAGTGACAGCAGCAACACCAGGTGCAGCTCCTCATGTAGTCATTCCCTGGTCTGATGAACTGGCATTGGTGGCATTCAGACAGTACAAGGAACATCGTAGACAATTACAAAGACAGGCATTCCCACTGGGTGAAAATTTGCTAGCATTGATTTTTGTAAGTCTAGCAGACCTGACTCAGGATCAGAGAAACACACTCACAAGTATCATGACACATCGTGGACGAACC